TGGCCAGCGCAGCAGCTTCAAGAGCCAAAGTCTACCGTCAACTTGGAAAAGAAGAGTGCAGACCCGTCGGGGCAGGCACCAGTCGTGCTAGCTACAGTGGCGGCTGAGGCCGAGGCGCCTTGGAGCTTGAATCCAACAAGGTTTTCCGACATCAACCGTCTCATACGACGCCGAGCATGGGTGATGCGTTTTGTGCAGAACTGCTCCAAGCCAATGGAGCTCCGTTAGACTGGCCCATTGTCCTCTGACGAGCTTGCGAGCAGCCGAGCTAGTGTGATTGCGGCAGCACAAGAAGAGTCATTGGAAGAGTACCGCTTGGTGAGAGATGGAAAGCCTATCCCAGCATCAAGTAAGCTTGCGAAGTTACGACCAATGCTGAATGATGATCGACTGCTGTGTGTTGACAGCCGTCTCCGAAATGCCGCGATCCTGGACGAGCAAGCCAGATGTCCTGTGATTCTGCCGCGCGGACACTGGGTTACCCAGCTCATTGTCAAGGAGGCTCATGAGAAGAACCGTCATGCTGGTGGCATAAGTCATACGCTGTCTGATCTGTCACAGAAGTATTGGCTTCTTGCTGGGCGAGAGGAAATAAAGGCATGGGAGAAGAAGTGTGCTCACTGTCAACGGCAGGCCGCGAAGCCAGGCACACAGATAATGGCGCCACTACCCACCGTTCGTGTGTCATTGCCGCTGAGAGCATTCTCGCGTGTCGCGGTGGACTACGCCGGACCTTTCACAACCAAGCAGGGACGCGGAAAACCTCGGGCGAAGAGATATCTCTGCCTATTCACCTGCCTTCAGTCCCGGGCTGTTCATTTGGAAATGGCAACAAGTCTCGATGTCGACGGATTCATGAATGCTTTCTTGAGGATGACCAACCGGCGCGGCGTTCCGATACAGGTCGTCTCCGATAACGGCACCAACTTCGTCGGAGCCGCCAACGAGATGAAGAAGCTTCTGAAGGCAATGGAGGGAGATGTGCAGCGTCGAGCAGCGGACAAAGGCATCAAGTGGTCATTTAACCCGCCGGCTGCTCCACACTTTGGTGGCGTACACGAGGCACTAGTGAAATCTGCAAAGCGTGCCATCTTCGCCATCCTAGCAGGTGCGGAAGTGAATGATGAAGAATTGGCGACTGCAATCACCGGCGCAGAGGCGTTACTGAATTCACGACCACTTACCTACCAGTCAGCAGATGCCAGAGATTTGCTGCCGTTGACACCCAATCATTTCCTTTATGGACACCAGGGCCAGCCATTCGTACCAAAGGGCACCGACATTGTGCCGCACAGCCACCGTTATCGCTGGCGAGTTGTCCAGAGTTTGGTCCTACAAGTATGGAAGCGCTGGATGACCGAGCTATTGCCACTTCTCCACACTCGTGCAAAGTGGCGGCAGCCGCAACCAGACATCGCTGTGAACGATGTTGTGCTGGTTGTCAACACAGGAACACCCAGAGGTAAATGGAAGCTGGGACGTGTGGAGGAGGTCTACCCTGGCGTTGATGGACGGGTCCGAGTCGCGAAGGTCAAAGCTGGTGACACATCGTTGGTCCGTCCCATCGCTCAGATGTGCAAGCTTAGCTCGGAATAACGGTCAGAAGAGTGTATGATGAACATGTCCAGTAACAAAGCTGAGAGTAATTAAATAGTGTCTGAGTGACTGCAAGTGGGTGCGTATAACATCGCATTGCTTTGCCTACGTGACATTATCGGATAGTTTATAACGCTATGCACATGTATGCATAGGGTGTATATTATTCTGGAGACTGCGCACTACAGCTGCCGTCATCACTATGTTTTTAGTATCCGGTGTGAGGCACCGTAAATGGCTAAATAATTGTAGCGTTTCACTATGTTTCATCATTATTGCGAGTGCATGTGTTAGTGGCTGATTAATCTACGTTCAATCAGGGTAGGGGAGAATGTTCAGAAGATCCCGAGGTCTGAACCAACGACTATATGTCACATGCATGGTTGTGCTGTACTGCTACGCATCGGCTTCTAGTATGCTTGCATTCATGGTAGCATTGACTGTAGACCTGAGCGGTCACGTGCATGCTTCTGTCTCGCGAGTTCCCGGATGCATGCACCGGAGCTTGCGCCGCGCTGTGCTGCGCTGCTTTTGTTTAGTTCCTGGTTGTTGGACTTTTAGTAGTGTTTTAGACTAGTTGGTGTGAACAGTTGCTTTTCGGAGTTCATGTAGAAAGTTCAAGGTTATTGTTTCTTCGAATCGCTTTCCGTTGTGCACGAATGTGGAATGTGTCACTGTGTGAGTGTGCGTTCCCTTTAGTGAGCTTTTCTTAGTAACAATAACGATAACGGTTGCATAGCCTGAATAAACCACAGTTTGAGTCCAGGCGCATGTTCAAGGTTGCTTTAGACAGTAGTCCCGTCAATACGCTGGGGAAATGTGTCTAGTGTCATCAACTAGACACTCCATTGATCAAAATCACCCATAGGAAACTCCAGCAGGTTATGTCCCCACAGACTAACACATGCTTATGCTTATGCATTTTTTTATTTTATTTTTTACAGAATGCACCTCCTACTGATAGACCATAACAAGAAGAGGAGAAGAAGAAGACAAAAGAAAATAATGATCGAGACAACAAAGGAGAAAGACAGACAATGTACTAGTAGGGGCACCTGTGCCGGTCAGGCGGGACTAGCAACGCCGACCTAGGGTCTCGGCGTTAGCGCTATCCAGCGCACCATGGACGGGATTACGAAACACATGTAAATAGATAAGTGATGGGGAGGGAGTTGATTGTGGATATATGGGGTGTTACAGCGAGTCTGTAGCCCAATACCAGCGGCTTTGTCGTAGGTGCTGATGCACCTTGCCCTTGAGCGACTGGAGGGACGTCAGGCGTGGCGGAGACTGCAGCACAGTTGGGGGGCAAGTTGTTCCACTCGTCAATGATGCTGTAGGGGAAGCAGCGTTGCACGTAATCAGGATAGGAAGCCGGGAGGACGTGAGACTCGTGGCGCACCGAGTGGTCGGACCGAGTTCGAGGCATTGTTCGTGGAGGACGCTGTGGTGGGGGGGGGGGGGCGGGGACCAGCAACGTTAGTTGTTGCGGTGGCCCTGCCAGACACAGTTTATACACATAGCTGAGGGCGGTGACCAATCTCCTTCCTGCCGAACTCTGGAGGAGGACATCAGGGCCAAGAATGTGGAGGGCGCGTCTCTGCACTCGATCGAGAAGGCGCAGATGGCTTGAAGCTGCTCCCATCCATACCAATGGCGCATACTCTAGGACTGGCCTCACAAAACCTCTGTAGACGGTTCGTTTACCAGCACCATCGAGAACGCGAGCAGCTTTGCGCAGGAAGCCCAGGCGAGAATTCGCCTTAGTGCTGTGTTGTGGAAGTGGGCCTTGAAGGAGAGGCCCGAGTCAAATGTGATGCCGAGGAGTTTTACCTCCGATAGCTCAGACATGGATAGTGGTCTGCCGAGTGACAGCAAGTATGCAGATGACGTCAACTTTTACAGTACATTAAAGCCATGTTGAGAAGAAGTAGCGACTACCCGGTCATTCTATCAATATCAATCTATATAGCGGAATAAAACAGAGAGGTTCCAGGCTGTCCAAGAGAGTGCTCAATACCGAGTGGTAGAGCTGGTTCAAACAATAGGAGGACAGAGGAAGTGTTTTTACTCAGAGTTTCACGCACTAAGCGATCATCAGAAAACAGTAATTGGAAATCTGGATCAGTATTGGTTTATATCCTCACAAAGCAAAGTGTAAATAGCTGCAGTGCAAAGCGTGAATGACAGCAGTGGTGAAAGGTGACAACCACTGGAGCTGGTTGTCTCTTACTTAATTAGGTGATGGCTGTAGCTGGTTTAAAGTTCCGAAGGTAGTACCTATTCTCATGGCGACACTTCGACACAAGCTCACTCCTTTTGTTGAGAGAGAGGTGCTTGGGTGCTTGCGCGATTGCCAATTTCTGTGCCAGGCACAGGTTGCACCTTTTGCTTTTGTTGCTGTAGGCCGCTCTGCGGTGTACCGCCCATTGAATGCTGCATGCCTTCCCTTCATCCTTTTTGGTCCAGACGTACTGCGATAGGCGGGTGTCCTTCTCGTGTTGTCTGTGGCGGAATGAGGATTGGTGGTTATAGTAGCGTTGTTTGAATGTTGTTGCTGTTAATCCAGTATATTCCTTTATATAGCGGAATAGCAAGCACGCAACGACCGGCCTAGGCGTGGCAGGCCACGGAAGCACCCACTACCTGTGCTACCCCAGCTTTCTCCACCAAATCCAGTCCGGTTATCTGGCACCGGTTTAACACTCATTGGTTGCTGCAGCATCAGCAATAGCAACAGCAGTGACGGTAGTCGATGGTGACTTGACAGAAAAGCCGACACCATAGTCCATCAATATCACAGATCATGGCAAACTCAGGAAGGCTCTGCCTCCTCAACAAACGCCAGGCATACGTCTCCCTGCCGAATCCACCACCATCTGACCAAACCTTACCGGCGTCAATATCGAAGCAGACTACAACAACATCTTCTCAAAGACCAAGACGTTCTACAGCTAATTACAGTACGAACTATGATACGGGCAAACAACAAAGACAAAGCTGGAGACCCAGCGTGACGGCAACACTGGACGTGACCGCCAACGATGAGGATGATGACGGAAACGGCACTGGAGGAGATTCTAGCAGTGAGTTGAGTGAGGGAGAGAGCGTGGGTATGGGAGAGTGTGAGAGTGAGTGTGGGCATGTGTTTCGACCTTAAAAGTCTTCTGTGTATAATCATTTGGTATCTCGTCCTGAATCTTACCAAGTGCATCTGATTCATGTTTCTCCGTTTTGTGTCGTGGATGTCATAGTTATCAGTTACAGGTGAAGCCTTTGTGAAGTGTCCGTCCAGCTCGTTCTGTTGAACGCCATTCTAAAACTATCGTTACCTCGACGCTTATTTACACCAACATATGCCTGCTTTTCTAAGAACAAACGGGTAGTGTACGTCAACAGCTTACCGTCGAGCTGATCAAGCTACGCTCATCCTCACTACCGGTGTACAGGCGGCCTGGTTGACTAGCAGCTATTTCTGCAAAGCAGATATATGCACTCACACACACACACACACACATACACACACACACACACACACACACACATGTACACGTACACACACGTACATGTACATGCACATGCATGCATGCACGCACACACACAACATATACACACACACACAACATACACACGCACACACACACATACACGTGCATGCACATCCATGCGCGCACGCACACGCACACACACAACATACACACATGTATTAGCGAGGTCAGGCGAAAATTCAATTTTGGACCCTATTGAATTGGGTATTTACGGAAAGTTTAGGGCTTCAGGCGTTCAAATCTAAAATTTGGGCTGGGTTGGAGCAACTGGAAGAGAGTTATGGGTGTTGAACGGAGCGCGTGATCTTTTTGTCGCGATGAATGTACGCGTGGGAGCTCGAAAAGTGGCACCCGCCACTCGGGTTCCAAGTCGCGACGCAGAGTGCATGATGTAATCCCCCAGATCACGTGCGTATACTTTGCTATGCCGGCGGCACGACTGCACACACAGACACAGACTGAGTACACTGTACAGTCTCTCTGTACTTACTACTTTTGCCATTTTACTTTTTCAGTTTGGGGACGAGTGAACTACTTTGAAGTCAAGGAAGTCTTTTGAAGATGATTGAGCTGATTTGAAGAAGAGAACTAAGTAAACTAACAATTTTGAAATGTAGCTCCACGGAAAACATTTTGGCCGAAGCCTGCTGCTGCTAGTACTGTGACATCGCATTTGGACTTGAGTGAAATGGTTCAGATGTTTTGCAGGGAAGAGAATAATCGTCTTGACCTACAACTCGACGACGCACAGCAACAGACCACCCAACTTGGGAGGCTCAAGTTGTCAGTTTTGAGCCAGTTTGTCACACTCCCTGACTGTAAAAAATCTGGTTAAGTTGGTGGACAGTTTGTCATAACTTTTTGGTCCTTTTCCTTTCTTCATAATAATCAATCTGTTTGCATTATGTACAAGAATATGTATGTACAAGAAATTCCTACTCGCAATCTTCAAAGCCTTGTCCGGTAGCAGACCTGATTATGAAGATGATCGTAACTGTGAAATTTAACGTCAAACTTCACCGTCAGATGAGTCGGAAGAGGCAGGGGAAGCCGTAGTTGACTCTGGCCGGGATGCTGCTGCACTGAGTGCCATTAACCGTTGCAGGTTGCCTTGCATTGTGTCAAGGGGCAGGACTTTGCCATCTTTAGAAAGAGAAAACAAGCTCCGGTCCGCAGATTGCTTCATCACGTGCTTGCGGAAACGCAACTGGTCGCCGAGTGCCTCCCGCTTCTTCGAGATGGTGAGCAAGGAAGAGTAATGCTGGGCGAAACATTATCCTGAACCCAGAGGCCACCACAAGACGACAGCGCCACTGTTGCCCGCTGCACTTGCTGTGCCTTGCGCTCAGCTTGCCTCTTCTTGGCTGCCTGCTTCTCCACTAGCTTCTTCTTCCGGTACTCCGAAATCGCTTGGCGCCTCTGGCGTGCCAGGTCCTTATGCTCACCGACCAAGTTCCGGGCCGTCTGAAGGATGTCGGCCTTCTCTTCGGCTGACTTTGTGCCCAGCCACTGTATTGTATGGTTATTGCGCATCATAATCAGAGCTTCAATTGTCAATGTGGTCGCGCTTGGCTTTTCCCGCAGAGATCTATCCATCTGTGCTCAGTCTCAGCAGCATCGACGGTTTTGGAAGCACCAGTGAGCCCAGGCACGAATCATATGGTCTGGAAAGCTGTGCACAGCACTTGGAGCAGATCTTTGGTCTCCTGGTCCTTGGCGGTTGCGTCATGAGAGACGTGAAGTCCTCACAGCCCCTGCTGACCTGCGCACCCGGGAACGGCACAGCACTTCCATCGAGTAAGTCAGCAGCATCCTCTGCCCAAGCAGCCAAACGTGTTGTCACATCTTGGTAAATTTTAATGGCAGCTGCAAATGGCGTGCTGTCATCTGCCAGAGCCCGCCACAGAGGTGCCGTTAGAAGCTTGCCGAGGATGCCCAGAGCTCTGCACCCAGTAACAAACACTGGTGTCGCCACGTCACTTACCACTGCGCCGATCAGCCGGTTGCGATCGCTGAACGCACAGTACTCTTTGATGATACATTCTAGAAAGAATACTCTAGCTGCATCATAGAATAAAATGTTAAACCGATTTCCTCTGAATCTGGCTAACGGCAACGTCTTGACCCCCTTTGTACTTGCATACTCGGCAAACTCCACCATCTTCCTGGCTTGCTCCGACCCATGCTTTTCGAAAGACTTGCATACTGTCCTGATCAAGCGGATGGCACCGCAGTCCTTTGGCTTGTTTGATGTGTCACCTATGCACCGGAACAAAGAATGTGCACAAAATACTCACTAGTCATGTATCATTCCGGTGTGTCTAATACAACTAGCTTAGTAAGAAAACATGTGTAGTATTCTTTGTTTTCTTGGATCAAAACAAGATCCTTGACTCACTCTTGCACGGCAATTAAAACTTTGAAATTGAAGTCCAGAAACGAGCGAGTGTGCGTAAAACAGCCCATGCTAGATCATGTAGTAGAATACATTTTGTGTGTGCAATATACTGGTCACTGTGTGTATATGGGGGGGGGGCATGTTGTTTTTGCACTGCATTAACTTAACAATATGTGAGCACTATCTTCATGATCATGCACTTTTCTAATCAGTCATTTGGCAGAATATGCTTGCATGGTACGTGTCTTCTCTTACCTAGTATTGATTGCTCATATTGAAGCAGCGCAGCGGAGCAGAGTTCTGCGAGGTTGATGAGCATGTGTAGGCCACAGAAGTGACTGTTGACTCTCGAAAGAGCAGCCTTCTCCTCAGCTGAGATTGAATCCCAGTTATCCTTAACAATTGGCAACACTTCGTCCGGTACGTCTGCAGCATTGTGTTGAACTTCGTATTGACGGAAGCTCTATCTGTCATCGTGTTCTTTACGTGTGACAGCAGCTGCTCACCTAAGTTTTTCTTTCCTCTCTCTTCGCCTGCTCGGTTTATCTCCTGTATTGCTTGTTTCAGCAGGTCCAATGTATGTTCTGCTGACCCAGACACTATTTCATTGACTCACACCGTATACTGTCCTTCTTCCGTCGACAGCTGGTTTCCTCCCAAACGTCGTTCCATCATAATGCGGTGTGTTGTAGGTGTCTGCTGCTGCGACCTCGCCTAGCTGTGCTAGCGCAACTCCTCTCCCCTCCCCGATCATGTCTTTCAGCAGCGTGTGGCTTGGGAGCCTAGTCGCCTGTTTATCGGCAAGCTTGAGAACATCTTATGCAACATTGTGCACGCCTACATTGCGGCTGAGCAACGACAAGCAACACTCTCGCATGCTGTCCGTGTACTTGCCATCCTCGTATGTTACTAGCTCTGAGTGCTTATCGAGTTTGTCTTGCATGTCTTCCAGCTGATCTTCAGGAGCTGCTATTTGGCCCAGGCTGTCACTCTGGAGAAGTTGTGTCTGTGCATCTCGCAATGAATCCTCGTTCTGCTCAGCCCCTAAGCTACTGTCATCGCCTTCCTGACGCTTGCTTTTCTTTGTAGTAGCGCAACATCCGTTGGGCTCGGCTGCATTTCTCTACCAGCTCTTGGCGTGTCTGTAGGAGCTCTGTAATATCCACATCCAGTTTCATGATTGCACTTTCTTTTTCCTTGAGATTCTTCTTAGTTTCCTTCAGCATGTCTTGATGTTCCTCTATGGAATGATCCCGGCGCTGTAATTTTTTCCTCATATTCCGTAATGTAGTTTCTGCTGCATTTAGCCGTTGTTGAATCTTGTCCTGTTCATCCTGCATGGGGTTTGTTGCAGCCGGCTCGGTAACAATACTAACATCAGTTGAACTTGCAGTTGCCGCATGCATACCAGTAGTGGCAGTACTGGTAGCAGCAAAATGTCTGGCAAATTATACTTTTCGGCCATAAAACTGTCAAACTGCTCTTTGCCGTCCGGTCGGTTCTTGCTTTTCCGGTATTCGCGGTGCTTCTCTTTAACCCGGTTTAGCGATGACAGTAGTGCAGCTTCTTCTTGCCTAGGGAACTCTGACGTAGCTAATCAATGAAGCTCCATCAACCACTTACACAATTTGTCATTGCCAATTTTTTTCTGCTGTGGCGAGTTTGACTAAATCCAACACCAATCCATGATTGCAAACTGCAACTAGTGTTGGCAACGGGTTTCCATATTCAAAATCATTCATGCATACCGTATTATCTCTATTATAAGCACGGTCCTTTATTTTTTCAATGTACCTCTGCCCCGTGCTATTAAGGTGGCTCCTACCCCTCGGGTCCAAATTTTTTTGTTTGAAACGTGGCTACAAACGATTGTACTTTGTTCCATTGGATATCTAGTGTCCGGAGACAAAATATTATGAAGTTCTACCGGCCGGTTTCACTCGGGGGAGGGGCCAAACATAGCATACTCACAATTGCCAATTTAGGCCAAAAAATACCGGAAAACCACTTTTTTGGCCGTAGCACTTATAGTTACACCATTTTTCTTGATGTTCAACATCAGGACAGTAGTATACTTGCTAAATACCAGCATAAGCTGTAGAAGTGGGTAGACTTCTGCTAGAAGGTGACCTTTTTTCTCTTTTCGGAATCATCCCATTTCAGCGCACACGTCCCACGTACTAGCCCCGCCCACAAGTATTTGATACTGGACTTACTCTGTATTCGATGGTTATGCTATCATAACCTAATAGTGGTACTGTGTAACAAGTTTGAGCAGGTTCTACCGAAGGTAACTCTTGAAATAAAACTTTGAAGTTGCAAGTGATGCCATATTTTCAAGGATCAGCACATTGCACTGGGGCATTGTCCAACGCCTTAGAACCCCTGACTCCACCATATGACAGATACGTGCCTTACAATACTTGATTGCAACATCTTCCAAACATAGTAGTAGAGCTTTGGATCAAGTTTTAGCAGTTTCCACCGAAGCTAACTATCAAAATAGAACTTTGAAGTCGCCCACATACT